CAAGAATATTCATAGAACTCATAAAGCAGAGGAAACACAAAAAGTTTACCAATTCAAAGAAATCCTTCAAACAAACAATGGACAGTTCTGTGAAAACAGATAAATAGATTATAAGCATGAAAATGAATGGGGCATTTATTAACTTAAATAAGTTTGATGTTATATTCAAGGAAAAAAAAAAAGCCAAGCTATTAGAAGTCAAGAATGAGATATCAAAAGTTAGAAAATTAGAAAAGTTAGAAAGCTGTTCAGGCAGCTTGTTCATAAAGTACATGGAAAATATGAACTTAAATAAAAAATTAAAAAGTATCTTGGGGAAAATGTCCTTATGCATTATAATCATCCCAAGTCTGCAATTTCATCAGAAGGGTACTTTCACCGCAGAGGACAGTATTATGTCAGAGACTGAGGCTATCTTCCAAGAGATAGTTTTCAGAATATAGAATAAGGTCAAGCAAGTACAGGAGAGCATTTAAAGAACCCCGTGACTTCATGATTTATGCCCTTGTAAAGTTCAGAAAGCTCAGGATAAAGGGTAAAAGAAGAGGTGGTTAGTCTTATGGTTTAGAAATCGTTAAGTACAAGAAAAAGTACAAGATCAGTGAGGGAAAGAGTATGGAATACAGAATAATCAAATATGACACAGTGAAAAACTTCCCACAACTAACAAGCGGAGAAACTACCAAAAAAAAATATAATTTTCCCCTCATCAGATACCAGATAGTTTTCCTTAAAAGAAAATGTGTGTATGTGTGTAAGGCCTCCTCTTTCTGTAGTGCCTTTTAAATTGTCTAGCACAGAAGGTATTTTTTTGCAGAATAAAACTACTTTGCAATGCCTTGAAAGGCAGCACAGCCTAAAGATAAGATGCTTAGGGGAGAAAGTAATTATGAGGACCATAGGAACCATCTTTAGATTGACAAGAAACTCTATCTGTCTACATATAGGTGTGTTTAAGCTCTATAATAGCACTGACTGTACCATTCAGACCTGCAGAAGGAACTTGGGCACAAAGAGCACATGCAGGTACCTACAAACACACAAGACCATTTCAGTGTCCAAATCCCACTAGTAGACACCACAAAAAATAAGGGATGCATGAAAGCATCAGTACTGTGGAAGAACTAAGATTCCTTCAGGGACACCCAATGCACTAGAGCAGCAGATATTTTGAATTAATGAAAAAAAAATTGACTATGTCATGAACACTAAAAGCTGTGCTTTCACCTCACAGTATCTATGTGGAATATTTTGGTTTTATGCTAATCAGAACACAGCTCAAATCATTTACTGTCACTAGTACGGATGGAAGTATTAACAAGAATCTGAGCTCCAGTTGTCATTTTGGGGAGAGTGATCTCAGTTCTACAGTGGTGGTTGTTACAGCACTGGGAAGGGTGATAAGATACTCAGATGAAAGGAAACAAAAAGGGGAAGAAGAGGAATATCAAATAGTCCAGATGCTTCATGACAGCTTTTATCACCATTATCCAAAACTGTTCAGTAACTATTTTGGCATAGAAGACCAGAGATATTTTTCCAAGATATGTAGTACGATTGAGAATTTGATACAGTAGGGGATGGAAGGGATAGAATCCTGAAAGTTTTAAATGTACTGATCAGTTAACAAATTAAACAAAATTACCTTGAGCAAAGTGTACAGCTACCTTATGTTTCATGTCAATATTTGAAATAAATAAAATAATATCAAAATCTTTGTGGCTTGGAGTGACTAAACTATTGCCAAAGATGTGCCAAGATGGAATAGAATCACAAGTTAATTAAGGATACAGTGCCACAATGGTATTTTCCTTTGTCACTACCATCACTTTACTAAGCTCAAACACCAGATGAAGTTTTGGTGACAAATCTGGCAAATTTTAAGGTATTAAGGAAATTTTATTAAAAGTAATAGCTGAAAGGTACATATTGAGAATTGAAATACCTAATAGAATGGATGATTACACCTCATACTGACCTTGTGAAAAATCTCATTAAGTAATTAATTAATACTTGAATGGTGCAATTCGAAGTCCAAATAACACCCTGTCCAGTTCCATCAGCCTATTGAGAGCCCATTACCACAAGCTCAGAGGACTCTAGGAGCAGAATGGCAGGTGGGAAGCCAAATTATTGACTCAGAAAGGGACACTCAGTCTCTGTCCCCTGCTAGGGCTGTCCCAGGACAGCTTCAGCTCCAGTGTCAGTGTGATACCCCTTATGATAAGAAAATACCATAGCACCTCTTGCATTGAGTCGAGGTCACCGCAAGGGAGCATGGGACACACTATGGGATGTAGTGTTGGATTGCACGAGAGCTATCATGGGATGTTTAAGGAAGGATGCAAAGGCAGGAAAAGGGATTCAGTCTCTTGGGGAGGAACAAGTATGGGAAAACAGAGAGTTAATGGGAAAAAAAGTGGTTGGTCATATGTAGTTTTCTAGTCAGTGTCCTTGTCTGACCATGCCCTGAGCCTGATCTATGCAGTCTGTCCTATTGTCTTTAAATTACTTTCCAATTTTTTTCCTGGGTGAGAGATTCTATAGTGTGTGATTGCATGTGTGTGTGTGTGTGTGTGCACATGTGTATGTGAGACAGACACAGTCTGTACCAGCAGCTGCAGAGAGGGTGAGGCCTCAAGGGCCTATGAAAACTGGGATTCAGGGGTAGCTGCTGGGCACACTGTCTGGAAGGACATTTGGAGGCATCCACAATGTACATAGACATATATTTTCAAGAGTGGACCTCAGTCCTGCTCAGCCAGAGAGAGTAACAGTCGTCGCTGTCTGTGCAAGTGCTCTGTGTGTTGGTACGTGATCTGTGTGGCTGGTCATGTATGTAAGTATATATATATATATATGGATACATGTAGTGTATGTGTGTGCCCTGTCTGCATATGCCTATTGGGGATACATCTTCACCCTCACTACTGTCTGAACCTGGGCATACAGATCTGCAGCATGCTCTGCTCTCATGGGCTTTTAGATCCAGCTCACTGTATCTTCCCCCAAGCAAAAATCAAAGTAGACGGTGCATTACAATGATAGTGCTAAGGTTTCAGTTAAAAATTGCACTATGTGCAAGTATAAGGCTGCTGATAATTTATTTAAACATAGGCGTTTGATGAAAGTGGGTTGAAAGTCTGTATTTTATAAACTTCAGTTTGGGAGGAAAGAGGTAGACCGTAGCCTCAGAAGTGACACCACTGACCCTGTAGCACAAAGGCCATTTTACACAAAGCATATAAACGGGTTGAATCCACCTAATTTAATTTTATTCATCTAAAAGCTACAGAAGCCTCCTTAGGACCTCCAGATTATGAAGCTTTTTTAGGATGTGTGGAATCATCCTCTCCTTCCTTTGTCTGTCATGGAAGCTCCAATAAAGTAGTTGATTTTTTAAAGAGATACATTTGAAATCAATGCCTCCTTTAGAAGCTAGATACAGAATGAAATAGATCTATCAATGTACTTGCACTGTGAAAACTAAGGACGCACATGCCAAGTCATCTTCCTGTGGCTGCCCATGTCATTACTGCTGCTGGGCACAGGCTGAAGTTAATTGCCACTAAATAATCTCTACTAGTGTACAGTTTAAAGAATAACAACATAAAAAAGTTCTATGAAAATTATATCTACCTCTCTTCCTGAATAAGTGCATTCAAAAATAAATCATAAAACCCAAACCAAAATGCCCTTAATTACATGCTTTAACTTTTAGTCAGCCACGAAGTGGTAACAAAGTTGAAGCAGATGATCATTGCAGGTACCTTTCAACTGAAAATATTCTATTCAAAAAACCAAACCTAAAAACTAACAAGAATGCTTTCTTCTATGCAAATAATCTGGGATACATTGCTATATAACTTAGACTGTGCATGGATCTTCTGAGGTATTAAAGCCTGACACGTACCACCCTGGACAAGCATCACAGTATTCTTTCCCAAAGACAAGTTTTACTTTAATATTAGTTTTTGACCCTACTACTCCTTTCAAAATGTCATCATGATTTAATGTTCTTTAGCCTGCTTATTTTCTCTTCTCCCCTGATTTACTCCAACGGATTCTCAAATCACAGTTGGTTTTAGCTGCGGTTAGTTCTTGGTTCTACTGCTGTTCCCATCCCTTCACACTTGAAGTTCTAGCCAGTTTTCTTGTTCCCAGTCCTAACTTCCTAATCACTGTTTGTGGTTTTCTGTGTATAGGTAATTGTCTTGATTTTTTAATTATAATAATGCATTGACATCATTACACAATTTGGTGTAAATGGTTCTCAGTGTGTCTGAATTGCTGAAGTTGTTAAAACCATGTTAAAAGAACTTGTTCACAAAAAATCACTGCATAATAAGATGCCTTTTTTAACATCTACACATACATTTCATTTGCTTTCTTTAAGGCAAAGTTAGTACGAACACAGAAAGCAAAGCACTTCCCTCATCTCTAGTGGAGGAAGACTGACGTACTTTGCATTGACATTATGAAACTATACCTATTTTAGGCAAAAATTACTCTCTTACCTCATTAAATCTAAATGGAACTGCTTTTCATTTTGGTCATCTTCACAGCTTCTTCTCTCTCCCAACCCACCTTTTTCCCACACTTTTACACTTCCCCCTTGGTTCTGCTGAGCAGCACCAGACAGATTTCTGACTCCATTGATGTTTTTCTTTGTGTACAGGCTTTCAGCTATAAACACTTAACGAAGAGCAAAGCTCACACAAAACATAGCTACCTGCACCTACATTGTGCCTAAAGAGGTACATTGTAACAGAAAGAGGTGAGGTCTAGTAATGAATACGCCTGGAAAAATTCTTTTATCTTCTACTACAAAGTCTATCTGCCACCATGAAGTGATCAGATGAATAACTTATCGTTGATTATATAATTCCTAAAATTTCAGGAAAAAAGGTTAAAAAAAAGAATAGTGCATCTAAAAAGGATTAAAAGTTCATTGGGTTTTCATTCTACTATTGTTTCAAAAGAAAAATATCTGATCCTACCTCTTCACAGGCAGTCCTGAAATCCATGTGCTATGACACAGCAAGTGATATTTGTCTAAAATGGAGAGAAAGATTTCATTAGAATGAAAAAGCAAAGCATAGAAGTTATCTGTCTGAGCTGAGCAGTTGCAGTTCTCATTGTTAGGTCCAGTTATAGACATGTCTTAAAAGGAGAAACGATCAAAGTTGCATCAGGATTAGGAAGCATAGGATGTTAGAAGTTGTTCCTGGCTCTTATAAAGTACACAACCTGGTTTCCTTGAATATCAATAGTTTGCAATCAACATCTCTTCCCTTTCACAGGGTATTCAAATCTACTTTTCTTACTGCAAGTTGTAAATTTCTTTTTTTTTGTTTGTTTGTTTGTTTGTTTTCAAAAGTAAGAGTGTACTTGGAAGTAACAAAAATAGAGACAACTAAGTTTTGTTTTTCAGAACACTCTTTTTTAAAAAAATTTTTTTTTTTCTTTTCTCCTCTAGTTGAAAACCACTGAGCACCAATACCTTTTGTCTCACGTTCTATTAATATACCTAATCTCTCCACAGAAGTCAGTGTCATTTAACAGTGTACTTACTTTGCAGAAATATTTATGAGTTGAAAAACAAATGTTAGAAAAGTCAGGAATATGTGTGAGTGCTGGCAAAATGTCACACCAAATCCTGTGATTATTACTTTGCCTGGCCTTTACCCAAAGTATTCATCCCAATGCACACTTATGTATTCATTTATTTATGTGATAAAGCCACTGGAACAGGATGTTAGCAGAGGCTAATAACAGTGTCCTGCTACTTATTCTACAATAGAAACACTCATGCATCAGTAAATAACATTTTCAGGAAACACAAAACAGTCCTGGGCAAAACAGTAATTTCATTCAATGGCTGGAAAAAACAATCATGTTACAAAATTCTCTCCATCAAGTACTTTATTGCTGTTCTGTATTAATTATGTGCTTGCAATTATTTGTATTAGTACTCAAAGTTCCAAGACAAAATTTGTCCCATTAACCTAGGTTTAAAATAAAATTTAAAAACTGTACTGACATAGTACAAAAATGTAAGTCCTAACAATTAAAATAAAGTCTCTTAATAAGATCCCGTCATTAAGTCTCTTGATTTATTTTGCTGCTCTGGATGCAGTTTTAATAAACTGAAGCATACACACACATATGAGGTTAATGTTCTCTATTTATTGAGCTCTGCCTGGTTCACAGCCCATACTCTAGACTAATTTCTAAGAGAGCTAGCCTAGACTGGCTAGGTTACAATTTAGAAATTTAAAAAGGACCCATCGTCATTCCTTCCTTATCAGCTTTACAAGAGCACCAAGACCCAATAAAGAACTATATCTGTAATTCTGCTCCCGAAATGCTCATAAAAAAACAAGGTCACTATTACTGTCTCAAAGATTTTCTCTCTGGTGGGACAGTCATTGTGCAACAAAGTGTTTTCCTTGTAATCTTTATGACACTTTTTTCGGCTGAGTAAGCTGAAGTGGGAAAGAGGCTTCACTCACCTTAGCAAAGTATTCTGAGGACTTCTTAGCCTTCTGGAACTATAAGAGCACGTATCTTTATAAACTGAAGTATTGCACAGTGCTCTCCTTTCTCGGGCCCTGATTATGTCAGGTCACTAATTCCTACTGCAGTCTAAAGTATATATTATGTTATGTTCTGCCTTATTAATAAACGTTGTGAAAAGTTTGGGTTTGGGCAACTGGTTTCACAGTCAATGACAATTCCACTTTGGTTCTTTTTTTAGCTACTCTGATCTAAATCTTATCTAATCCAGGTCATTTCCAAAACTCAGTATTACTCCATTTTCTTCTTTGTTGTTTTTACGTATTATGCATTTATTTGCTTATATCAGAAATATTTGTATTATCACATAGAAGAACATTCAAGAACAGTTAGGCCTTGCAACTGATTATATATACAGCTCATAATCTAAAATAACTTCTAATTCTGCTCAGGTAATAACGTAGCAATGTTACAAGTATGAAGCTTTGCAGGAATACAAAATTCTTTATTGAAAACCTATTTAAACCCTTTTTAAACCCTTTTAAAACCCTTTTAAAAAACTCCAACATTTTAAACACCATTGCTATTAACTTTAGCATGCTTAAAATTATTTCTGAAAGGCAGGACCGATAGTTCTCTGTCCTATGGCACACAGAGCCCTTGGCCTTTAGAAAGACAGGTCATAAATAATAATTGTCTCCCACTACCTGTTCCTACTTGACGAATCTACATGGTGAATCTTGGTGATACTTCTTCTCTCTACATGCTACATTACAAATAGGTAAAATAAAATATACTACAAATACCCTCTAGACATACATCTACTGAAATAACGTCTCTGGTACCCACAGAAAGGTCACACACAGAGTTTTCTCTGGGAAAGCTGGATAAGGCATATTTTTATGATCTGAGACAAGAACTTTTGCTAATAAAATATTGTCTAAAATGTAAAGCTGGAACTACACAATTCTCAACACAAAATCACGTTCATTGCAAAGACTGTACATGTTTCTCAGACGTACGATATCTCAGTTACTAATCTTTGCTATATAGCTGACACGGCTTCTGCTTCCCTCTGTTTCCTACTAATTCTCATCTGCAGCTGCATACAGAGAATTTAAGCCCATTATCAATGTTCTTTTTCTGACTATCAGCAATTTTATAACACTTCATATTTTACAAACACCACATAGAAGGTTTGATTACAAAGTGCAGTACCTCATAAATCATCTCAGAAATGTCATTGTTTCCAGCATTTACACTTCGAATAAACACTCAAGATAATTAAATTAGAGGAATACAAATCATGCATCATGCAGAAATGTTACATCTTATGCTCGTAAAATTTCTCAATGATTAGTCATTGTCTCCTCCTACAATACATGAATAAAGGCAGAAAATAGAAACCTAAGTAATTTAAAAAATAAAACACCTTTAAAATTATAAACCATGAAACCCACTGCTTACAGATATTCTTGATAAGCTTTTGGCTAACCTCTGCAACCTCATCTCCAAATCACACTTTCACCTGAGCGCCTTTCCAGCTCTCCTAGGAGCTCCCTTCAGCCCCACCTAGACAGCCCACCGGTTACCAGCCCATAGCTCCATTAAGCCTCAATGTTTGATTCTCTTTTGCCCCTCCCCACCCTCAGGTTGCTTTAGGACAAACTGCTCTGGAAGGTGAGAAAGGAGATGCCTGTGGCTTTGAAAGGAGGAGGTGCAGAGGAAACAGCTTCAGGACTAAGCAGAGTGTGCAGGCGCAGAGGGAGGCATGAACAGCACATATTACTAAAAGAGAGAGAATGGATCCAAAAGCAGTGAGGCTCTCTGAAAGGACTGGGAACCACTACAATAAAAGATACGTAAACAAGCAAGCTCTGAAAAGTTTCTTGCCTTCCTTTCAACTTGATTTGCAGTCTGCATTTCTTCCACAACTGAGTTACCAAACTTATGTAGCTCACCTCTTTTGATGCACAAAGAAAGCAATATGTTACAGACAGATTGGGAAGAGAATTTGACACTCCCTTTGGCAGAACAAGAGGTTACTTAATATTGAAGAAACATTTACCAAGCAGTATTATTATGGCATTTATGTTCTAAAGGGAAATCAATGGCTAAAACATAATGGTAAAAATGAAGGCTATGGCAGCCCTCAGAGACAAAGCTAATTTAGGATAATGCACTGAGCACTTGAGCTTTGCTCTGATCTTATAATAAATCAGGTCATGTTCCAGTAGTATAATAGATGTAATTTCACAAAGTACTTCCATGACTGAATACACCAGTATACTTAATGTAATAAGATAGCAAACAAAAAGAAAATTCCATGTGCACACAACAGTAAGAAGAGACACTTTGTGAAGTGTTGGAAATAACACAAGGAAAAGCAGGAAATGCTTAGTTCTCAAGGTTACTGGTACAAAGTAAGAATACAATACTATATGCACAAATAACAAGTTTATGGAGAAATTATGCATTATGAAATGCATTTTAATTCAGCATATGGCATCACTGCAGCTTGTATAAGTCTTACTTGATGGAGATAAGTCACAAGAAATTCTTATTGTCTGAGAAATATCTGAACTGCTAACTGGGAAACAGACCATGTTTCAAAGGCAGATATACTAGATCAGCAACTACTTATGAAGTAGTTTACTACTAAATTTCATTTTTGCCTTTTCAAGTCCTTCATCCATCTCCATTCTTACTAAAATTTTTTGTGCTCTACATTGTGGAGATATCTGAAGGAGATCATGTCTGTCATTTTTGTGTGTGTTAGGAAATTAAACACACATACATTTTTAACTCTGCAGAGCCTTTAGCGATAACTAAAACTAAGCCCAAAACCATCTCTATTAAAAATAGGGGAAGTAGAAATAATCCTTAAATATAGCACAGTCCTTTGTGCTTTACAGGAAATAAAAATACACTTTGGATAAAAAGAAACATTACTTTAAATGCAAATTCCATGAAGGCATACTCTTTCTATTCAGCTTGCCACAAAGTGCTTGGTACCAGACGAGTGGTCAGAGGCACACAGACAGCACAGTAAATCAAAGGAGTAGTTGAGCAGCTGCAGGTTAATAAACCCCTATTCAGTTATGGTTTTCCAGCACACTTGAATTATAGTTTGTTTGAACACTGATTTACTTATGTTCAGTTAACATAATGATTTTTAATAATTTACATATTGGACTAATTTGCTGAAAAATTTCCCAGCAAATTGGGAACAGTTTCTAGATCTGAACACACATCCTCATGTTTCCCTCACAGAGTTCAATACATGAAGGGGGGTCTATACATCCCATGCACAAAATTACAGCTTTACTAAATTAAGTAGAAGGATGCACATAAAGGTGGAGGACCCAAAGCTGCATGTACCCCAATCTACCTGATATGCAAGGACTGAGAGGAACTTTGGAATCAGCAAACCTGTGCATTTCTTTGGCAATGAGGAAAATAATCATCTGACAAAGTTTTTTAACAAAATGTCCAGCTCTTAGCAAAGCTCATGCTTCAAAAGAATTGAAGTTGGC